ATAGGAGAGATCAAGTTTAGATAAAACTGGCTTGTTTAAGCAGGTGTCAAAAGGTTCATACCCCAGTGGAGAACAGAGGAAGTCACTGAACTTTAACCTGAGAAGCAATATAGTGCAATGTGCAGTCCTTGGAGTCAAGACAGACGTGGGTTCAAATCCTCCTTCTCACCCTGACTAGTCATGGAAACCTTAAACAAGGTACTTGCGCTCAGCAGTCAGCAGATTCCACGTCTGTAAAATGAAACTAATAGCATCTACGTTATGAGTGTTGTGAGTTAAGAATGAACTAATGCATGTAAAGCACTTAGGAAATTGTCTGGATAATGACACACACATGTGCACACCTGGGAAAATATAAATTGGTCAATGCGAATTTAATACTAGAGAAAATAATAGAATGATCATCAAATTACTTTCCATTACTCAGAGGAGCCCCAGATATTGTGTAACAATTCAAGTTGGATTTCTGAACAAACAAATAATGTCAATGTCAGACCAATTTAATTTTCTCTCTTTGAAGAATATTAGACTGTGTAGGTAAGAAGAAAGTGAAAGATTGAACACAGCAGAAGTGAATGGGCTTTCTGTCTGTCTTCATGACATTTCTATCACTATGCTGTAGAAATTGTTTAGAGCAAAAGGTCCCCAAAATAGTGTTTTATAGAAAGTTATTAAGTGTTCCATGATCAGTTATGTTTGGGAAACACAGGGTAAAATAGGTTACTTTACTATAGGATTCTCAAATATTTTAAATAAGGTAATATGAATGTTTTAGAGTCTTTTTTTAAAATTTTATTTATTTATTTGACAAGAGAGAGAGACACAGCGAGAGACAGAGCACAAGCAGGGGCAGTGGGAGAGGGAGAAGCAGGCTTCCCGCGGAGCAGGGAGCCCGATGTGGGGCTCGATCCCAGGGTCCTGGGATCATGACCTGAGCCGAAGGCAGACACTTAACAACTGAGCCACCCAGGTGCCCCAAATGTCTTAGAGTTTTTATAGTTTACAGTATTTTCCAAACTTATTTGCCATTGAATTCTTTAAAAGGTCATAGAACACACCTTTGGAAGCAGAGGTGTAGATAATATTATAGTATCTTCCTTAAAGTTATAGTTTCTAAAGGTTGATGGTTGAGTTTTCAGCATCTATATGTAGAAAAATATTGTGTGTTATTCCATAGGATTCGGAAATTTAAAGAGGTGTTACTTAATACTTTTATTCATGAGCTGGACAATAGCAATCAAGTGAATCATAACGAAGCATGAAGTTGGACAGAGTTGCTATCTACTTGGAAGGCAGAAATGAAATTCAAAGGACACTGAGAATACTATCAGAAATAGAATGAAGATCAACAGAAAGATGTCTTATAGAGAAGCATAACCTTTGTAGAAAAATAAGGAAAACATTTTTTCATATATATATATATATGTATGTATATATATATATATGGCTTTAAAAGGCCAAGAAAACACACTGGGTCTCCAAGGAAAAGCATGGTGTATAAAGATATAATCACAAGAGTTATTACATCTTGCCTTTACAAGTCATTGTATTGAAAAGCATAGGGACATGTGATGTGTCTCACAGAGTATAGGGATGGCTCTACTTTAGAATGCTATCTGTATTCTTCTCTCCTGGCTCTATACACTCCTTACAAAAGTGGCCTTGAAGATGCTCCAGAATTCAGGACTTCCAAAGTCCTATGATTCCCAGCAAAGTCCTGGCTTAGGGTACCTTTGAGTGGTGGGTTAACTGTCTGTGAAGGGAGATCTTTTAAGTTCCTGGTTTAATGAAGTCCTCTGATTTCTTCTGCTAAGAGCGGGCAGGAACTGACCTTCCCATTAAAAAATGATCCTGGCTGTTGAGATTCTGCTCAATCAAGAGATTAGCCAGGAAGCCTGGTGTTTCTAGCCCATTTAGGAGTTGATGTTGAGGGTTCAGAGATTGTAGCCACTCTTTTTATAATTCTTGGATTTTGTATTAGGATGTGGCATATCCTAAGCGTTCCTCTTAAATGACTCATGATGTACCACCTAGAGTTGTGTGTGTGTGCGCATGTGTGCACACAAGCATGTATGCATATGTGTAAGAAAAAGCTGATATGAAATGAGAGTCAGTGCCAGAAGTCCCATGCTTGGCTGACATCTCCACACTAAAAAATTAGAAGATTTCAAGCGCAAGCAACCCAGTAAAAGACATGAAAATCTTATTATATGAAAATGGAATTTGATGATGTTAATCTGGAGAAGAAAAGAAACTGGGGTCAATATAGCTCTTTCACTACTTAAAGAGAAAAAAACTCTTTGGAAATTACGAGATACTCAAGAAACAGGTGAACTACTAAGAAATAGGTTTTATAACAATTAAAACTGTCCCATAATGAACAAGCATGCCTTATGAAAAAAATCCTAAAATTAAAATTATCTTTGAACACTTATTTTGTGACAGGTGTTATGCTGAACACATTACATGCAGTAGCCTACTCAATTCTCTTAAAATCCCTATGAGGTAAGAACTGTTATTATTCTCGCATTACAGATGGGAAACTAAGTGTTGGAGAGGTTAGTTTACTTTTTCAAGGTCACACAGCTGGTGAATAGATAAACTTTATTTGATCCTGTAACCTGTGTACTAAACCACTGAATTGCTTATTTCCATCCCTAGACATTTTAAAGCACAATCGGATGTTTCAGAAATTTAGTTTAAGGGGTTCTTGCTATTGTAAGGCTTTTCCATTGCAAGACTGAACCACTGCAGTCATCTCTAAAATGTTTATCTAATTTCTGGCATATTGAAGACTGAAACATTGAATTGAGCCTCCTTGGGCATTGTATCCCTCTGTCATCTTCGTATTTTATTTTAAAAAAGATGGGGGCGGGCGCCTGGGTGGCTCAGTCGTTAAGCATCTGCCTGCGGCTCAGGTCATGATCTCAGGGTCCTGGGATCGAGCCCTGCGTCGGGCTCCGTGCTCAGCAGGGAGCCTGCTTCTCCCTCTCCCACTCCCCCTGCTTGTGTTCCCTCTCTCGCTGTGTCTCTCTCTGTCAAATAAATAAATAAAATCTTAAAAAAAATGGGAAAAAGTCTAAAAGTCTAGAGAAGGCCAGTAAAAACTAAGGGATAGGTGGGCAACGGAGTCCACAAAGAAAATTGCAAGAGGTTGCATTCCTTTGGCCAGGAAGTAATTGGTGATCTTCTGCAATATGCAAAAGATGCGGGGTACATCATTTCCACGGAGAATTAACAAACATGTTATATTCCACGGAGAATATAACAAAAATATCCATTGCAGTGAAAAAGCTTGGCTGGTGCAAGAAGGGGACCCCAGTGAAAATGTCTTGAAGTAAACAAGACTTTGAAGCTCAGTTATGGGTAGAAGAACAGTCGTGTGAGACTAGAAGCCAATGCAGCCGCAGTTCAGCCCACCTGGCTTTCTGGTCGCCTTGACAAGTTGGCCAGCCCTGAGGTTGAGCCAGAAGGCTAGCAAGTGTTTGTGAACCGTCTTCTTTAGTGGGACAGGACAGAACTGAGGACGGTTCAGGAGCAGACACTGAAAATGAAATTGGAGCCACTTTCTCTTAGGGAAACCTTTAAAGTAAATATGACAAGTGTGGAGATAGGGATTCTTGGTAGCCGGCCAGAGGGGTTCACCAACAAATAACCTCATGATTCCTCCTGAATTCATGGGTCAATGGCCCTGAACAATTAAGGACAGCCAAAAGAGTCTCTGTTAATAAAATTGCCTTGAAAAATCAACATTTCTGCTCAACAGAGCTTTATGTATTAATTTTAGGAGCTAGACTGTCCGTTTTATTCTTTAACACAGAAAGAAACTGAACACCCTTACAAATAGGGATGTTTTTTTTTTTTTTTTAATCTTTTGGAGAATATTTTTTCTGCTTCATAGAAATTTTATCATAATTTCATGCCCCCATACTTCCTGGCTTGTTATTCACTCCATTACTCTTACATTTAACTTGATAAGGTCCTGGATCCTGTGATATTAGTTTTTAGGTTTTGTCTCCTCACAGCTGCTGCTTTGAAGAACCTGGTAACATTCTTAGCCTCGCATACAGCCAGTGGCTTTTCGGGCCCTCATTCTCCCACTGCTCACTGTCCTGCTATTTCTGTTACTTCTCACTTCATGGGTATATTCTCAACCTCACCCTCCTCTACTTTTGACAGAGGGCAAACCTGGGGCTTTTGCAAGTGGCTAATGGGTCCATCCGTGGAATTGGGCAGTTTATTCTGGAAATAACCATGTCTCTCCCTGAGCATGTCACAGCATGTTTTCCTCTGGATCTTCAGGGATTTTAGTGGGGCACACATGAATGGTAATGGAGCATCTCTCACGGTTCCTGGAAGCACTGATAAGCCCTGTGCTCTTTTCACATGAACTCGGACATTCCTTTTCTTAATGTAATACCTGCAGGCCTGCAGTCACGCTCTGTATCAGAAGGTGGCTTCTACTGACAGGATCCATGCCAGGCATGATCTCAGCTGCTGGCATTTGGAAAAAGCCAATTATTTCACCGGGCAGAGTTAAGCCATAGTCAAAATCAGACAGGGAAGCATCTTCTGGACAAAGCATCCCTCAAATTACCCAGTAAGGGAAATGGGATTAGAAACATTTAGAGAATTTCTCGAGTTGCTTATGGCTAAAATTAAGTTCCCGTTGGGAGTTTTGAAGGCTGTTGTTATCTTAATAGGAAATTAATTTGGGGGAGGAAAACAAACATCTCCTGTTTCATCCACTTAGAAAAAAATTTCTCCCAATTTCCATCATTTCCCAACCCATTTGATGTGAATGTTGGAAGACGGAATTTAACAGATGATCCGAGTGTGAAAATGTGCTTACAAGTGGTGAAACAGAAACTAAAGCTTTAGCTGCATTTTGAAGAGGAACAGGGTAACCGTAAGAGTAAAAGCACAATTGCAAGTGACATTGAGAGGAACTATCAGCTCCTCTTGCACAGAATACAGTGTTAGAGAGCAAAGTTACTCACAGGTATTTGCAGTGCCTTTAGGGATGGGGAGATACGAGCCTGGACTCCAAGGTCGGCCCTGATAATTCTTCTTGCATTTCCCACAGTCTGGACCTGTGGTGTTGTGCTCACATTCACAGGTCAGTTTGCTGTTGTCATACACACACACAGTGGCGTGGAGATTACATTTGCACCTAAGCAGAGGAGAGACAAGAGTTCATTGTAAGTCCAGTTGGTCTTAGAGATCACGGAGGCTTTACCCATCTATCCCCTGGGGTGGTAGCTCATACACCCTGCAGCGTTTGCGCTCTATAGAGGCTCTGGGCAAAATGTAGATCTGTAGGCCCTACCCTCAGAATCTTTTCAACAAGGGGGGGAGGGTGGGGTGAGGATATAGTCTGTCTCATACCACACTTTGAGGAATCCTAATACCAGTCATTATGTTTAGTGGGGGCCTGAAGGTCCCGTAAGACAACTGTGCTACAAAATCAAGGGTTTCCCAAGAGGTGTCCAGAATATTGCCACCAGTGAGCAGTTTTCCTGCAATATTAGCAAATCTATGACAATTTCATCTGGGTTTGAAGAGCAATGTTATCTTCTGTTTTTCCTTAAACCAGAAAGACAATTCTTACTTGTTGAAAAGGAAAGACAACCATGCAGATGATTTGCTATTCAGGCTTATTTTATAGACCCACAGAGATCATAACCATAGTGCCCACATTCTGGGCTCTAAAATGACATTACCCCAGATCAAAAGTTTTTCCCACCAAGGCCTCTAATCAATCTGAGTAGTCCTTAGATTTCCCAGTCACGGCAAAGAAGGTAATTACAGAGGTCATTCAGAAATGGTGCAAATGACTCAGATAAAAGATGCTTAGAAGCCTAGAAAATAAAAAAGACTATAGGTGACAGGGGTTTGAGGTCATTAGCAAATGCCTTGCCTTGGGTGCTTGTGCAGAGAGCTGTGACATATGAGAGGCAACAACGGAATATGCAATTTCCGCAAAAATACATTCCCCTGTCCAAAGTCTTGCACTGTAAAATTGCAGAGGCCAACTGGATATTTGTTGAGGTGGCAGGTTCTAAATTGCAACATCCCAAGCCCACAGACCGCATCCTCTGGGAAAGTAAAACCTAGGTTGACAGGATGACCATGACCAGAGGCCAGAACAGTGTATGCAGGAAGCGATGTGTCCACACAAAGGGGAGAACTAGGGCACCCGAGAGGGGGGATAAAGGATCAAGACCTCTCAGACCTGTGTGTGTGTGTGTGTGTGTGTGTGTAGTTGTGTGTGCATTTTTAAACTGGTCTGGCCTCTTCCAGAACTAGGACAAAAATATAGAAAGCCAAATTTCATAAAGACAAGGAAATTTTGTAGTGTTTTACATTTGCTTTCCTTTGTGGGCGATGTCATGAATTGGAAAAAGTAACAGTAGTCTTCCTTAGGTAGGAAAATAAGATTCTTTAAGAACGGATGTTGGTTTCTATAAGGTCTGTATAGCAACATCCAAGTTTCTGTCTTGTACATGAATGATCTGTTTGGAACACTGACCCATACTTATGGCAAGGAAGTGAAGGAATGGCCAAGACTATTACTGAGAGCTGTTGGGCTCTCTTCTAACTAAAAGGTGTAGCCCCTAAATTAATGCCCACTCCCCACCCCCCCTCAAACCTCCCTGGATAATATCACACTTCTCCTTCATCAGGGGTCTGCTCTAATTTGGAATACTCTGCCCTCTGTGTAGTTATAAATTGTAATAAGCTGAAAGGCTACTATTTAAACAATACATATTCAATTTAGATACATAAACAGAACCTTTAAAATTAACATGTACAGTCTTCTAAAAAGATAAGAGAAAAATAATTCAGTTAAGTGAAATAGACAGTGTTTAATCATGAGCTAGATCTCGTAACAGTTTATTCTATGCAGGGAGTCACTTGTGTTAAGTTGCTTAGGAAAGGATCTTTCCCGTTCCAACATTAGCGCCTATATTCCATATATTTTTTATATATGGAAGATGTTAGAAACCTAGGTGACAGAAGCACCAACCTATACTGATTTAGCACCCTATCTGGTGTTAAAAATTCCAACTGAGGAAATGAACAATAGGACCCCAAAGAGTATGCTTGTTTCATATGGGAAGACCAAGAATACAAGTAGTAATTGTAAATTGGATTAAATATCTTTTAACTGTTAATACTGTCATACTTGTAGTCACTTTCTGAGTTACAGGCAATTTCCATTTTAAAGACTTTCTATTTGCTGAGAAAATATTCTTTGGATAACAATAGAAGGTGAAAGAAGAATAGGTGACTGTTTAGTCTTACTTCTCTCAGATTTCTTCCCATTAATGGTTCATCCTCACCTGTCCAAAAGCTAATCATTCAAGGCTCAATTCAGTTCTCTCTTCCCTGTTATCTATCCTGCTCACTGTAGACACCCTGAGCTCGATCTTCTGATTTCCTTAAATGCTTCTGTGTATTTGGGTTCGTTGGTTTGTACTTAAAGGCTCTTTAAGCTTTTAAAATGTTGACTCATTGCATAAATCTGTCCCATCCTAACGGGAGAAATACCCACCTTGTACCCTGGTCTTCTTTTCCAGCTACCTCTTTAACACTCTCCTTTCCCTTCCTGAGTTTCCTAAACCTGCATTTTCCATTTTTCATCTCTCATTCACTTTCTCTTTCTCACCAACCATGGCCTCTCTTGCCAAGATCATCCATGACCTCTTTGTTGAAAATCCAATGGATACTTTTCTTTGCCTTATTTGACCTCCCAGGGGTATTTGAATCTGTGGACCACTCCATTTCCCCTGACGCTTTGTCCTTGCTGATTCTCAAGCTCGTTTTCAGAACCCGCTTCTTTGTGTTCTCTTTATGTGCTCTTCTTGGGGTCCTGGCCCAGCACCATCAGCCTAAGTGACTCTCTTTGGACACTCTTTTTGTTGTTGTTGTTGTTGTTTTTAAGATTTTATTTATTTATTTGAGAGAGAGAGAGAGAGAGAGAGTGAGTGAAAGAGAGAGAGAGAACACAAGCTGTGGGTGGGGGCAGAGGGAGAGGGAGAAGCAGACTCCCCGCTGAGCAGGGAGCCCCATGTGGGGCTTGATCCCAGGACCCTGGGAACATGACCTGAGCCAAAACAGTTGCATAACTGACTGAGCTACCCAGGTGCCGCCTTTGGACACTCTTAATACAGGTTGTCCCTTCAATTTCCTCTGTGATCCTTAATGCCTTTGAGTTATAGCAAACTTGCATTCTAAAGCAAACTTCCATAATCTTCCTCCACCCTGAAATAATAAGCATATGCAAAATAAGCTTAAACATTTGAAAACATTTTAGGGGATTCAGAGATTCTCTGTTACCCAAAGGGATCCTAGAACCCTTCCCTCCATTATTACCAGGTGGAAGATTATCCGATCGACATGTTGATAAATCCTGTATCTATATTTCCATCATGGAGCTCTCTCCTGGACATGTCAAACTCAACAGATCCCAAACTGAATTCTGAGGCTTCCCTCTCCTACTCCTCCTTCTGGGGTTTCTGTCTTAGTACATTGCATCACCTTTCAGGTAGCTAGTTGAGAATGCCTCCCTCTTTCTTTCCTAGCCTATCTAACTTGTCATTGCTCCGTCTCTCACCAAGTTCTGAGATCCCTCCTCCTTGATAACTCTCAAATACATACAGTTCTAGCCACTGCCACCACCCGAGTTGAGATCGCCATCATCTTTGATCTGCTTTATTACAATGGCCTCTGAACAGACCTCAGTGCCTCCAGTCATGCTCCTCCCTAGCCCAGTCTCAACACAACAGTCAAAATAATCTTTTACACAAAAATATTGGGGTCATCCTGGCTTAGAACCATTGCAAGACTTGTCACTGTTCTCAAAATAGAGTCCAAACTCTGTAACGTGGACTCCAAGTCCCTTCGAAGTTGGTGTCTCCTCTCTATTCCGGTCTCATCTGCACCACTAGCAACACTACTCAGTTCTTCACACTTTGACTTCAGGCGATCTTATAAACCTTTCCTTCTGCCTGCAACATTCTACTCTACTACCTCTACTTTCTTATCTGCAAAATTCTTACCATTCAGGTGTCAGCTTGTAAATTTCAGTGCCTGGTTCCTAAATGACATTCAAAACCATCCACTGGTCAACTATCGGAGTGCTTCTCTGCCCCACCAGTATGCCTTTCCTATGTGCCCCTGTGACCCTGGCAAGGCCAGTCACATGATTAAAGCTATCTCTGCCGTAGACATAGACCGTGTTGTCATTGCTTCTTCTTCTCTCACTTTTACTGGAGTGTAAATGCCTGGAAGCCACGATCATGTTTGCCTTATTTAGTGCAACATACCCAGCACTTGTCAGGGTGCTCGGCACATAATAAGTACTTAAAAAATACTTGACTGATAAACAAATGATTAATAAGCAAGTAGACTCTCTGAAAGCGAGAACTTCATGGGTCTGTCCTACTATGTCTGGCATGGTAATGGACCCAAAATAGAGAATTAATAGGCATTGTACTCAATTAAACAGTCCATGATGTGTGCTGAAAACTGCCACATGTCCTTATCATTGGTTTTCATAACTAACCTTATAATGGGCAAAGGGAACTCTATAAAATTGGTAAGACTTTGTAAACACTATTTAATTTAAACTCCAGAGAATTTGCCAAATGCCTGAAACCTAACACAAGAAAAAAAAATGCCAAAATACTCAGGGAAATAACATAGTTTAGAGGAGGAAAAAAAAACCCAAAAAGCAGAGTATTTGTGTGGCATAATTATTCTGGAATGTGCATCTTTTGGCTTCAACTTCTCATGCAGGGTTGACCAGCCTGGTTCAGGCAGTTTGGCAATGTTGCTTGGGCCCTGATGGCTACTGGAACTTCCCCAGCAGTAAATCTGTTGACCTAGCCCAGCTTCACGGCTGTCTTTCCTCCATCCCCGTGTCGACTGTTGTGCCTGAGCTGAGCATGTGAGAGTGGACACCGAGGTATCACAACACCGGTCGGTATTGGAAAATGGCTCTCTTTCATTATCCGCCGTTCAGTCTGTTCACATCACCCCATTCCAATCAGATGCTGAAATTCTTTATTTAGAGCCCCTGCCAGAGTGGCTTTTCCTCCAGCAGAAAAAAATAAAAAGCGGGTGTCACAATGCTGGGAGATTGCTCTCAATTCCTGGGGCTGTGAC